TATGTTTCAATATATAAATTATATTTAAAATTAGTATACATAAATATTTTTAAATATATAAATTATATTTTAAAATTTATAATAAATAATTTATATTGTAGTATAATATTTTTAGTAATAATTTTTAAATATTAAATTTAATTAATAAATAGTTATAATAAATAAAAAAATAATTTTAAAAATTTAATAAAATTTCTAAAAATTTCTCTAAAAGCATTTTTGTGAGATAAAAGTTAGTGTTTAATTTTAGAAAAAATTAACTTATAAACCTCTTTGCGCCTTAGTTCTTTAGCCTCAGGGGCTATGCATGTTCAGTCGAAATATAGTTAGGTAGGTCGATTAAATACACACATTAACAACACTTTCGTTAGGACAAGGGCCTCACTGTTGCGGTAAGTAAACACGTAAATAACTTTACTAATTACATAAAAAACATACATGGTACGTAGATGAGTTAAGAAGAAAAGGAAACACCGCACTAATTGCTTTCTTCAGAAGCGCTTCCACCGCCCCGTTTTTTCCTCTTTTTCTTTTGCATGTGTCTACACTGTACACTTCAATTAAGCAACCTCGCCATTGTTTCATCGTATGTGTCTCCAACACATTCATACACGTACAACCTTCCTCCTAAATCCTCCACGTGTCCATCCCTAAATTTCTGTAAACTCGGCACATGTAGTGTGTTTTCATGTTCCATCCAACCCAACGTCAATTTATCTCCCTTTTATTTCTACGTTTCTGCTTTGAAAAGTGAAAATTTTTTGTTGAATCGTGTTGAAATATTATTTAATTAAACTTAAATAAATTCAATAATTATATTCTTTAATTGAAATACTTTTATGCTTACGAACCGACCCAACCTAATTTGGAATAAAACTTTCACCGAACCATAATATATGTTTAGTTAAATTTTGTTAAGTCAGTACGTATTGAGATAGATATGTTTTGAATTTTGATCGGTGTAGCTAGGCCATTTTGAGACCCTTACGGATTACTTCAAAGTTTTCATCAATTTCACAGCACAATCAATAAAATGCAGGAGCAAGAGGTTAGAGGAGATGAGAGAAAGAGTAGTAAAAAAGCAGAGAAAGGAGGAGGACATGGAAAGGAGGAGAATCCACCTCCATTAATGACTCTTAACCACGTTTCAAGGCTATGTAGAAACGTGAAGGACTCCATAGACTTCTACACACAAGTGCTGGGATTTGTTTTGATGGAGAGGCCTCAAGCCTTGGACTTTGAGGGTGCATGGTTGTTCAATTATGGAGTTGGTATTCACTTGGTGCAGTCCAAGGAAGAAGATCAGAGATTGCCTTCGGATACCCAACACTTGGATCCCCAAAACAACCATATATCTTTTCAGGTAATAATATTAATTAAGCGTTAGCTGTGGGAGAACATATGGGGGTACACACACTTTATATCGTAGAATTTTCGATGGTTTTCTCATCATTTAATTTGCTTACTTTTTCTAGGCATCTTGGGAGTGTTTGGGTTATAGACTTGTAACATCATGTTCAAATACAACTCCATAGTTATTTAGTCATGTTATGTTTGTAGACAAAATGTAATTTATATTCTCCAAACCATGGTTTGGGGTGTAAAAATAACAATCCAAACATGGGCAAGGAAAGGAAAGGGGAAAACAAAAATGTTGGAATATATATAGAGAGTGAAGGAACTAGAGACATTTGCCAATAATTTGGAACACTTACATAAGAGATGGTGGCTGATGTGGTTGGTGTTTTTGTGGTGTTAGTGTGAAGATCTGGAAGCAATGGAGAAAAAATTGAAGGAAATGAATGTGAAGTACATGAAAAGGACTCTGGAAACAGAAGATGGAAAGGCAATGGATCAAATTTTCTTCAACGACCCAGATGGGTTCATGGTGGAAATATGCAACTGCGAGAATCTCAAACTCGTTCCTGCGGATTCGCTAAGCAAGATAATGCTGCCAATGGATCGCCACACCCCACCCGTGGAGACAAATCAGAGTCATAATGCATGATGCTGCAATATATATTTTTCTTTTCCAACGGTTCATCTTGCTTCTTCTTTTTTTATCAGGTCTTTGTATTTGGAGCTCTTCCTAGAGTTTTTTCATTAACTTTCGTTGTGTGTTTGTACTCGTAATTTGTAAAAACTCCGAATGTGATAGAAGAAGAACCTTCTTACGATGAACACTTTAACTTTCGAAAATTTTCTAGTTGAATATATATATATATATATATATATATAAGGGAAATACTAATATATTCTCACCTATTTTTTATTGGAGCATGTTATGAACTTATACCAAAATTTTAGGACAAAAGAATTACTTATTTATTTTAATTTGGTTAATTTGTACAAAAGATATTATAGTAATTTAATTTAATTTTAAAGAAAATATAATATTTTTACTTTTTTATTAACTTCATTCTCCTACTTATTTTTTTCTATTAATTAATTTTTATTTATTTAGAGAGAGGAGATATCATGAGAAATGAGAGAGAAATGAGTTAAAAAGAAATTTAATGAAAGAAAGATAAATAAGTTATAAAAGGAATTTAATAGGAAAGAGAAATAGGTTGGAGAAGAAATTTAATAGAGGAGATAAATGACTTAGATAATGTAGTTAATAAGAGAGAAGAAATATTTTATTTTCTTTTAATATTAAATTAAATTATTATAATATCCTTTATACAAATTAACCAAATCAAATAAAATGGATGGTTTTCTTGTCTTAAAATTTTGGAGTTGGTTATTAACATACTCCAACTAAAAAATAGGT